ACTAAAAATTATTTTTTTAAATAAATAAAATAAAAAGTCGCTCTGCTGTACAGTAGGTTACAAGTGGGTCACTGTACAATGGATGGTATTAAATTTGAATTTAATGTATATGAAAAACGATTCTGAGCGGAGACGGTATGTCAGTCTAGGGCCTAGGTATAAGACATAATTCAAAGGTGTAAAAAAAAAATGAATAACATTAATTGAATTTCAGTTTTTTATAAGTAAAACTGCAAGTGTTCAGAATAATTGTCTGAAATAATAATTGCGTGTATTTTTACCAATATTGTTATTTTACATTGTTTATGAACCCTGGATGTTTTGACTTTAAATCACTACATCGTATTTGTTTATCGACTATCATTATTTCTTAAATTATATTCAATGTTATTTTCGTTGGCACGAAAACTTCGGTATAATTTTAGTGGTGGACGCAAAACAGTGATAACTATTTTCAGCGAAAAAATATTGCCTTTTCTCGGAAACCGACAACACGGTGATATCGATGGTTAAGAAATAATACTTTGGTAGTTTCAAGTTTGGTATTTCGTTTAACGTGATGTCGTAATTCGAGCAACTCACAGACACCATAATTTATATTATTGTTAACATTGTGTAAAACATGTAACAGCCTCTATGCCGAACAGGAATTAACGGTTAATTCAAGAAGTTTCTGAAGTTATAGAAGTATTTAAAAGTTTTGTGCTTTTTTAAAGGCGATTGTTATTATAAAATATAAGTTAATACAATAAATTTGAATCATAAAGAAATTATACTAGTTTTGTTTCAGTATATTTAGTAATAAATATAAAATAATTATTTATTAATTAATATATTATAAGATTAAACAATAAATTATCATAAGTAATGCCTATACTTACAATGTTAGTCTTACATATTACATACAGTAATATTGTATATTATATTGATCAGCCTATACCCATATAGATGAATATTATATTTTACAATAGGTTATAGTATTAGTTACCTCTAGTGAACAAGGGCCGGATACTTAAAATATATTATTAAATTTAGTTTATTTTATATACCGTCCTATGGAAGAAAATTATGAGCTAAAAAAAAAATCATATTGGGGGTAAATTTGTCTATACGCTCAGCTCTGTATTATAAAAAAGAAACTAGAAAAAAGGCCGGGCACACTCAAATGTAAAACTCTGGGTCCGCCTATGAGACATATTATATACTTTTCTATGGTATTAAATTTTCCCCCTTGGAACACAACATTCAATGTTAACCTTACTTTAACTCAATTCAAAAAAGAAAACACAATGCCCTCCATATATAAAAACATGCTCAACAACATATTGCAAGAACACCCAAACAGCGTACACATATACACTGATGCATCCAAAACAAATGACGGTGTCGGTCTCGCTATGATAATAAACAATCAAACAATAGCATACAAACTTCCACCTCAAGCATCAATATTCACAGCAGAAGCGATGGCAATATACAAAGCTGTAAAATATTTCCACACTGAATATTCAAACAACCAAACAAAATGTATAATACTTAGCGACTCACTCAGCAATTTAATTGCCATCACAAATACTCGAAACCAAACAGATATCACTAAGCAAATACAAGAAGAAACTTTTCTTGCAGAAAATAAAAATATATACATCCAGTTTGTATGGATTCCGGGCCACATAGGCATTCCAGGAAATGAAATGGCTGACCTAGAAGCCCATAATGCAATCACCTCCACATTAACTGCAACCATAAAGTCCATCACATTCGCAGATGCAAAAAACGAAATTAAACTTCACACAAACAACAAATGGCATTCCCACTGGCGAAAACTCAACACCAAACTCAATAAAATAAAAAACAATATAAACCCATGGATAAATCCTGAACTCAGTAGAAAAGAAGAAACCATAATAAACCGTCTACGAATTGGACACACACACCTAACACACAGCTATTTGATGACCAAAGACGATCCTCCACTATGCGACGCGTGCAATGTACTTTTAACGGTCAACCACATCATCACAGAATGTCAAAAATACAACAAGTATCGAAATCAATACCACATCTCAGAACAAATTTGTCAAGCACTAGGACCAAACTCTCAAGACGTTAAAAACTTAATTTTATCCTTAAAAAAAACAGAATTGTACAATTTAATTTAATGTAACCATGTAAATGCTAAAATACTAACAATGTAATCTAAAATTCGTGTACTAATGGCCTAGTTGTCGATGTATAGTTCAGATCAATAAAAAAAAAAAAAAAAAAAAAAAAAAAAAAAAAATTGACCTATAATAGGTAGACAATCTTATTATGAGGAATTTTGTATTATATTTCCTAATCTTAGATTTAAATAGAAAGATTTTTATGAATTTCTAACTCAAAATAATTTGCACACTTTCGTTAATTTTACGTATTTTGTCAATATTTGAACTTAAAATGTTTATAAAAAAAATTGTGACTATGGATTTTTCATCTGGCTTTGAAACAATATACTAGGAGCATTCTATTAATTTTTCAGGCTTTTTTAACCTACAAATAAAATTTAATTGGTATTTATAGAAAAAAAAACTAAAAAAAATGGAAACTGAAAGTGTCATTATAAAGAGCTCAAAATAAGTCAAAATATTTGGAAATTGTTATGGTGTATAGAAAATGCTAATAAAAACATTCAGTCAAAATTGCATGTACCTACGGTCATTTATTTAAGAGTTGCACCAAATACCAAAATCGACTTTTTTTTGAAAATAGATTTTGTGTAAAAATTCCCGTTTTTTTTTTTTGTTTTTCACGGCGCTTTTGAAAACAACTGGAAAAATTTTACTTTTGACCCTCCAAAGTACCAACTGGATTCACTTTCCTATCAGAAAAGATACTGTTGACGAAATTCAAGTGTTACAAGTGGGTCACTGTATAATGGATGGTATTACATTTTAATTCAATGATATAATATCATTATTATTCATTGTATAAGAACAACGATTCTGAGCCAAGACGGTATGTCAGTCTAGGTTTAAGAAAAATTATATACATATCAATGGTAATAAAAAAAATTGACCCTTTCTTCAAGTTTCATAGTCAATGGTAAAAGATAATAGATCAAAATACCACAGCGTTGGTATATATTGTATATGTCATCTGCAGAGGATTCTGTAGTGCGTTTACTGAATCGAACTTTGGCCAGTTCTCTTCTGTGTTTGAGGACATAAAATTATTAATTTTTTTTTAACAAAAGCATCGTCAGTTTCGGGAATTTTTTCTTGGCATTTTCAAACAAGTGCTTGAATGTCTTTATTTCTCTAGTACTTATTTTTAGCGATATCACTTTTTACTTTCCTCAATGCCGGATAATATTCATCGATGAAATCGGCCACAAATGTCTTATCAAATTCGAAACTTATTGTCCCACAAGTTTAAAAACTTTAAACAACTTTAAAAAAAATATTTAGGTTATGGACAGAATTCAAACCTTGACCCAGTCACTACTACAGTATTAATATAATGTACGCAAACGTGCGGTTGATATCGACAACACTCATGCACGCACATACGAAATTGTCGACGTGTAGGCTGTTGTCGTGTTAAGGGTTTTAAATACTAATAAAATTATATAATTCTTGGAAGGTATCTTATACCATATATATATATATAGGTATACCCGTAATTAAAAGCGCATCAGTAAGTCAATCGTAAATTATTCATAACCAATTTTCATACATTTTTAAAAAGGCGACAGTTAATAAATATATTATGTGTTAGGGTATTTCACTAGTCCACCTCAGTGCCTTACTGCAGTCACATACATTCAGTTGAATAGATATAAGACAGCAGTAGGTATCTACTTTAAGGTATACCTAGCTCATAAACAGTTTTAAAATAAAATAAAATTTCATTTTTGTAAAACGTTATTTAAACAATTAACACACAACAGCATTAGGAACTTAAAAAAAATGTATTGGGTAAGTATAATTATTTTCTTTGATTAAACTGTACAATCTAGGTGTGGTACTATGATCTATAGATGCATATATGCAATTTAAAATAGGTACACAAACTCTCCAGTGGTTAAAAATTCAAGTCACTTTCTCAGAATTGTGTGTATCTACCTCCATTATACGTACTACAACATACCATCATAAATATCGTAAAAACTCAATTTTTGGAAAAGGTTTGTTAACATTGACTAATTGTATATATTATATTATTATGTAGTTAGCAGTTATAAGGAGTATTCAGTTTAATTTATGCGATTTAAGTATACTCTTTTACAGGTAACGCAAAGTAATATTACATCAACGTTGATAATCATGAATATTCCCGGCAGCAATAGCGATAGAATTTTCAATCAGAAGTTGGCCAAAATTTTAGGGTTCTATCAAATTTTGGACACCGAAAAAGTAACATTTCTAGGCCGTCACAATGCTTACTATAGAATTTTCGTATTTCTCATGGTTTGGGAAAGTCTTTTTTCGGTGATAGCGTTCTTAAATGGTGTGCATTTTATGGTAAACAACTATGATAACATTGCCCATGCCATACTCTATTTTGGCTTAGTGGTAAACTCGTTGTACGGGAACTATAAGATGTACATCATACTCAACCACTCAAAAGTTATATGGGATTGCTTTTCGATCACGAAGTTCGACTTCACGTCGTACGGTGTCCAGGGCAGACATACACTGAACGCGTGGCGAAATATTTCCATTAAATACACGAACATATACTCGATACTTTTTTTAGTAATATTAATCCTTTATGTGGCGTGTCCGTTGGTATTCAGTGACTCGTTTATAATAATAAAAAATCACGATGGATCGTCCAGCGCCTATCGCATGAACCTTCTCAATTTATATTTTTTCTTCTCGGCAGAAACTTACAACACATATTTTTATGTATTTTACATATTTGAATCGCTTTGCATTGTCATTATTATGCTATGTGTCATTATTTTTGATACTGTTGTGAATACGTTGGCCTTCGCATTCATCGGTCAGTTGCAAATGCTTTCCACTGCGTTCGAATCGGCCGGACATAAATCTCTTCACTCCCCAAATAGTAAGTACCTACAGTATTGACATGCATGTATTAGAGAAATGTAGAGTGGGTAAATGGTTATTAGTTATCTCATTGATATTGTGATATGGTGATATTCTGTCTTCGTCTAACACACGTGGAATTTAGGAATTTAACCATATTGTTTTCATTCCAACGTATCAAATGATCTGGTTAGGCTATAAGAATTCTGAAAATATATTTCCACTCTTCGTCAAGGCTACTAGAGATCGATTTCCCTAATTTAAAATTTTTTTATTTAACTTCTCTAAAAATGGAAATAATACATTTTTCTAATAACTCCATTTTTCTTATTTTTGGTATGTCATTCTGAGAATTTAGTGGGACGAAATCAAAAATATTGAATATTCGATCCCAAGTATTTAAATCTGTTGTTTGGTATGCTCAGCGACTATCTTGGGTACCTACAATAATGCACCTAGATAAGCACACTAGTTAGTAGTAATACGGACGGCGTAGCGAACATATCGCGCTCTCTGCGCAACGGCAGTAGGTGTTAATTAAAGATTTAAAGTGAACCAGTATATAGTAATAAAGTATAAAGTCGTTCATTGATTAAAATCATTGTTTTCATTGCACGTAACAACTGTTTTTAGTGTATAGCTTCACTGGAGCAATTAGTATGTTAGAATAAAATAGTACACAAAAATTTCTTTGTTCCGTGTGTGTTAAACAAAGATATAAAATTACGATTCCAATCCTCAATGTATAAAAATACATTAAAATAAATACAAAACTAACATTTATATCAAAACGAACAAAATAATACATTATCTGTGATATTGTAGTATACAATTGATTGATTTACATTTTTTAACTAGGTAATAGATTCCTTAAACTAATTATTTATTGAAAAAAAAATATGAAATAAAGTTGTTAAACAAAATCCATTCACCAAACATTTTCCAGCCCTCACAAATATTGTTAATTAAAAAGGTATTCAAAGTACAATGGATAACTTTAAATATAATATGTTGTTTTTTGTAGATAATATTGATAACAAGATTGCGTTATCTAATGAAAATATAAAATATGTGGATCAGTACAATGACTTAAAAACACTTATATTAGACCATCAAAACATTCTGAAGTAAGTACCTATTAATTTTGTTTTCTAAATAATAAAAAAAATGTTTTTAAATTTTATATTCAAATTTTTAATATTAAAATTTAATGATATAAATAATATAAACATAATATATATACATGAAAAGATAATATTATCAACAAAAAAATGAATTAGTTATTTCAAATATCTTTAAAATGTTCTCATGTGTTTTCATAATCGTGTTTATTTTTTCTAGTGACTAGATAAGTTTTACTTACTATAATAAGTTACAGATTTGTCTATTTTTCATGCTGTAGGCAATGATGTCTTGTTGTATAATATGAGTATTTTTATAATAATTTGTTTCTTTTTACATAGAAAATATGATGAATTTTTATCAATATTTCACCCAACGATGTTACTGCAAGTATTTGTTGTGTCGTGTTCGATTATTGTTTTTTGGTTCATTCTTCTAACGGTATATACAAACATAATGGAACCCTAGCATTTATTTATTTAGATAAATATAGTTATGTTTTTTCAAACATTTTGTTTGTTTATGGGTTAGGTTACCTTAGTAGTTTTATATTTAAATATATATATATATCTCATGACAAGCGATTTCATATATTTTATGTTTTCAGAGTTTTATGGAAGACGATTTTACTCAATATATGGCATTTAGATCCATAGAATCTATTTTTGGAATTCCTTTTTGTACTTCTCAAATGTATATGTCATGTTTTGTATTTACTACATTAAACATTAAAGTAACTTCCAATTTATATACCTACTTAAAGTATTTATTTCGTAAGTAGGTACACAATTACAGAGGAGTTATTCAATAGAATACAATGTTTATTTTAAATAGTACCTATAGATATTAAGTTGAATTAATATTATAATATTATAATTTTTTATTCATTTCTATGATAAACAAAGCTTTAGAAATTAAAATCCGGTTTTTAGTGGTTTTTCGTAATTTATCGGTGGTTTTTCAGGTGGCATTAAATAACTATTGGGAAAATCCAAGATTGACCTCTTTAAAATACTTACTATCTTAATATAATATTCTAAAAGACAAGATACTATATATGTTGAAATCGAAGCATTTTTTCTGGTAGAAATTTTGTATACAGGATAAAAAAAAATTAAAAAAATTAACACCATTGTAAAACTACTAACTAGCTTCTTCGCTCCGCTCAGATTCTAAAATGTATTAAAATTAATATAGGAGTAAATACTCAGTATTCATGTATAATGTAAATGTCAAAAAACTAAAAAATGTATACAATGGTTCCTCATAGATTGTTGGTGGAAATTAAAAAAAAACAGTTGAACTTAGATCCACAATAATATAATATTAGCGTCTAAAGTTATAATTTTGACAAAATATTTTGAGCTTGAAATTCATAAAAATTTTTCCACATCTTATATAAATGTAACATTTGAAAATTTAATCAAGATTTCCCATAAGTTTTACAACATTCAGCAAAAATAAAGACTTACCAAAAAAAAAAAAAATAGGAAATTGTCTGATCTAAAAATAAGAAATACAATAATTAGCACTTGAGCACTCTCCCGAGGTTATCCGCTTACCCGCTTTATTTTTTTTATATTTAGGCCACATTAAAAAGTTTGTAAATTACTTTATATATCAATTAATTTTTACATGTTTTGTTTTTTTAGAAAGATGCTATATCATTCGCGTTGTATAGCTCAAATTGGACAGAAATGAAAATGAAATATAAAAAATTGATTTTGTTAACAATGAGAATGAATGATGCACACCAAAAAAAATTTCATTATACAATGACGAGAACTATTAACATTGAAATATTTTATCAAGTATGTTTCATATTACCTTCATAATTATAAAAATATAATGATCATAATCTAAGTTTTGATTAGCTAGCATATATTAAGATTGGAAAAGTTGGTATTGGAAATATTGTGGTCCCTAATATTTTAAATTTAAAAATTTTTATAGTAAAAAGATAATTTTTAACCTGCTCAAAAAAAATGCACTGCAGTCAGTGGCGTCATTTCAGGTTTTGAAAGGGGGGGGGGGCAAAAGTTTTGACCGGCCCATAATTAAAAAAAAAACCGCTCTCTAACAATTATATTTTTATCTCAATACAAACAGCCTTCTTACATAGTTATATTTATATACATACAAGTTGGTTAGGTATCTGAGATAACTGTGGTTACTCTAGGCATAAATAACACACATGTTTGAAAGATAACAATGACTAATTAATACATAGGTATATGAAATATAATATCATCCATTGTTTTGTTCTTAAACCGGCCCGTTAGTAGGCCGCCAGTGGCCCGCTAATGACAAGGGGGGGGCAAATGCCCACCTTGCCACCCCACAAATGACGCCACTGACTGCAGTGTTGTTTTCCAAAATGTTGTAAAATAAGGATTTTTGTTATTACACCATAAAATATTCAAAATATTTTGACTTGTTATTGCTATTTTATTATTTATCTATTACATTGCTATTACAGTAATATATTTTACTATTATTTATTATACCCATTTCCGAAGAGAAAAAAACAGTAGTCACTCCTCAAAAATGGTAATATTGGTAAGACATAAACGTCATAATACTTAGAAAAAGTACAAGAAATCAAAATAGTTACTAATTTGGATGTCTATTAATGATTTATAAATAAAAATTATCAAAAAACCTTATAAAGCACTTTCCTAATAATTTGGATTTTGGAATTATATTGCTCTACCTCAGAGCAGAGTAGAATTACATTATTATGTTTATACGACTTTTTTTTTACATAATAAATAATACCAGAATATTTTTTGATGTAGATTTAATAAATATTATATTTTTTATTTTATTACAGACTATGCGTGTTTGTTACACAATTGTAAATGTGATGTTAAATTGCAAAAAATAAAAATTGGTTCAACAATAAATAATAATACTAATGTTCGGTAGCAATTAATATCGTTATTTTTCTTAGTTAATAACTAAAATTATTAATAATGTAAAATTGTAAAAGCATAATTTACAGCACACGTTTATGTATTTTTTTCTAACACGTTTATGAAGTATGACACCAATTAATCATTATATTAAAAAAAATTGTATGTAGCCTACTAGTCTACTAGCCTACTAGTATGTTTTTGAAGTCTTATACTAATGTAGTAATGTTTATGTGAAATAAATGAAAATAATTAATCAATTTTATTAAACAGATGTACTTATATCTATTGCTATTATTGCATATTGGTTTTACATTGATTTTTTAGGTAATTTATTCAAATTTTCAGAGTTTATGTCTTTATTGAACTACAATATTTGGGTAAACTTTTTGAATCATTCAAATACGGTAGGTTACACTTAATTTATATACATCTATGACGAAACCTTAAAGCATATTATGGTGGATGTCAATCAAAGTTAAATTTATACAGGGTGTAACAGAAAGATATGACAAAATCGATTTTGGTTTTTGATTAAACTCTAAAACAAATGAACGTATATACATGCAATTTTCACTGGTAGTTTATATTTGCATTTTCTATACACGATAAAATTTTCAAAACATTTTGATTTGTTTGTTTGAACTGTTTAGGAACATTTCCAGTAAATGTATTTGTCATATCTTTCTGTTACGCCCTGTATAGCTATAGAGTAGAGAGTAAAGATAACAAAATTATAAAACAAAGCCTATAATGATTCAGTTTAAATGTAACATTCAGGTAAAAACAAATTGAATTCAGTTTACACCGAAAATGTGGCAACATCGCATAACAAATTAACAAAATATATTTGAATGGTTATGAAATACAGGAGTACGTGACCAAATCCAATGGTACCTATCGAAGTCGATTTTTTTCTTGTGCGAAAAACACTGTATAGCTGCATATCCGCAGACCTCCAGTCAGACGATTTGGATTAATAGCCACGAGTATATTCTTTGGTTAAGTAATTATCGATCGAGTTTTAGGTAACTATAATAGGTATAAAAATCGGTTTTTCGTGTGTGTATAAGCAAATAAATTTGCTAATAAAGTAATATTATATTAAACGACATAATGAGATCAAATATCGTGCTAGTTATGTTGTAGTAATGAACTGTTCCGTGACCAGAGAAAAATACTTATAATACTCAGGTATTGCATTGCGTTGTGTAAATAGTAAAACTCGTTAGAAACTCATTATCAGTCGAATAAAAACGTGGTGAATATAAACCATTTTATAGAGGCAAATATGTTGGAAATTATTTAAACGAAATTTGATAAATAATAAAAATCATTACTAAAAACTTATCTTATGAGTTTTGAACTGGTATTAGAATTAATTTGAATATAACATAAAAAAACATTATTACCTATTATACTATCTATGATAATTGAAATTATATTTTACAATAAATTTTTAGCATAAAAACTTGCCATATTATGCCATGTATTTTTATATATTCCTATACAAATACTTTTTAAACGTTGTATCTGCAGTATCTCTATTTGAAAACAAATAAAAAGTATCTTTTTAAAGTTTGTCTATATATAACCTGAAATCAAAGTCAGTCACCTTTGACGAATTCTTGCGCACGTGTCAACTATATGGCATGACCATTAATAGGACCATCAATTCTCATTATTATGGTAATACATTTTCAGGACGTTCCAATAAAAACCGTTTGACAATGGGTATAATAATAATATAACATGGTGTCCAACGATCACGACAGAGCGTCGCGAATCACTTCGAGAATTAAATTTAAACCGGATGCAGTTATCTAAGGGTAATAAAAACTGGTCGTCGAAATAAACGTAATAACCACGTCGTTAGTTGGACCATTGAAATAAATCGAAATAAAAATCACTAATCACAACATTGGTTCGAAGCGTTTGAGCATACTTTTTATGATTTAAATTTCGATTCAAATACAAATCTCGATCGGACTTGCTGCGAGTTGTATACATAATAATTAATAATTATATTATAGGTATATTACATAATGACACGAAACGTTCATTTCGTGCGGGATAACAATAATATATTATTACAACATGCAGTCAGGCGTCACCTGTAGAACAGCATAAGCTGGACACTAGGAGTGAGCCAAACGACAGTGGTAAAACTGTAAAAACGAAGTGATATACATAAAAAAAACAAAAACCAAACAATAGCGGTATTATAGTTATTATAATTGTTATGAACCGTGACCGGTGAAGAAAACTCAGTTGCAGCACCGATGGCACTTAATATACCTACGTACGTTTGTGACATGTCCATAAAATTAGAAATGTGTTCTTGATGTTGTCCCGAGATTAGACCGAATTCCTGTTGGTTTTTTGTTTTTATTTCCACTTACCTATATATAATTTATAACCACCTTCTTCGTTTTCTCGAAGAAAAAAAAATGTCAAGTCATTATTGAAAGAAGCCTTCAATTTCCAACTGCAGTCCCGATGGGACGAAACGATAGGCTGTTACGACGATTAACGTTTATTTATATTTTATACCAGTACATACCATTCCGGTCACCATATATTATATTGTTTATTCGACAACAAACATTAGTTTTACCGGTTTGTCCTATCATACGTTTTATTTCATCGGCTTTAAATCTGGTAATTAGCTATATATTACTGGGTCGTAGTTTTTAAAAAAAATCATAGGTACCTATCCCTATATATTGTAAAACACGTACACTTGATTTCGATTTTTGACGCCACTATGATATTTTGGTTATTATAGATGGACGAACAAACATAGATCTTTTTTATACTTTGTTAAATTATTTTTTATATTATGTTTATGACCATACGGTGTTTACTTTTATAGGAAGTTTCGTTCCGGACGTCAAATATTTATAGTATAATGCCTGTACAGTAGTGTGCACAATAAAATGTTTAACCTCATTTTTTGGTCGTTAATAAACGCTAATAAAAAAAAAAAAACTAGATCTTTATAGTACCTATACAATTTGTCAACTCTTGTATAGGTTGCTTTTTCAAAGCCAAAGACGACATTGTTCTTAGGATCGCATACGACAATATTATACGCTCACACATCTCGTCTAATATTTCCTTCGTTCGACCTTATAGGAAACTATATTTATTGTTCGCTACATAATATTATGAACATATATGAAAGAGCAAGTCGACTGTGAAATCCGTCTCAACGGTTTGAATAATACATCGTTGTTGTTGATTTTTCTCCGTACTATATGTTTGTATCGTATATTCGCGTGAGTATATGGTAAACCGTTTTTCCGACGTTAAGGGAGAAAAAGCAGTCGAGTCGCACACGTCATATTATTATTATACGGATAGACCGGTAATGACGGGTGCACGATTAGAGCAGACCTCGACCTCGTGATACCGCTCGAGACTAGGACGACGGAGGAGATCGTTCCCAAGGATGTTAATGCCGCGCGTGTACAATACGATTATATATATTCTCTTGTGCATCTACATCTGGACCTCGGACTATGTATTGTATTTTAATTCGGATTCCACTGTCTGTGTGTATGGACCACTACGCACCTCGCCTGCATATATATATATTAACGAAAAAAAAAAAAACCGAAAAATTCGAATTTCTGGTGCACGTTATTACATCACGCGTATATATACGAGGCAATACACTCACTGCGCTTGGGGAACGATATGATTGCCGGAAAAACCGGTTTTCCGTGAGGAAGGGGACCGTGTGATTGAGTGTGTGTGTGTGTGTGAGGGGGAGGGCAGGGGCACTTAACGAGAACCCATCCAGATCCGACGACGACCACACGGAACAAAAAGCATACCGGGTTCACGGCCGCAAGCGGTGCAACTGCATCGGACGCGTTACAGACATATACAATATATACCAGATACCCATCATACCAGATCGGTACACATATATACACGAAAAACTGACACTGCACTCGCGTGTGTGTGTGTGTGTGTGTGTGTGAGCACTGTGCACCCGCACCCGTATAGGACACAGACACACATGCAATATATATGTGTTGTATACTTACAAGTTATGTGTAGGCATAATGACGGGCCAATAAAAATTAAATAAAAACCGTGGTGAAATAACAAAAAAAAAGAATAATAATAAAAACAACACACCTATCCTGTGACCGCGGGTCGTATACGATTTATAATACCTCGCCTCGCCGCGCCGACGATGCGATGACGACGATGATAATTTGGGTAAATACTAAATACGTCCATCTCGCTATCGTTGGGGTAGGTGTGTTATTTATGCTTCTCCTAAATATTTAGACGGCTTACCACGGACATAATATATATTATGTGTGTGCATGTATGTGTGTGTGTGTGTGTGTGTGTAACAAGGAAAATATTTCGAGGGGTGAGTTAAATTTGAAATTCTCATTCCTAGTGGGTTATTATTTTTATTGGTTAAATAACACCGTCTCAAAAAAATGTATTCAAATACATATATACATATATTTTAATTAATTGTCATTCAATAGGTACATGTATAAAACTAATCTAAATTGATAGAATTTATTAAATTTATATGTTTATGTTCTAAAACACTTGGAAAGTTCGCTAAATGTGTCGTCAATTTCGATAAAAATGTTTGGCATTATTATTATTTACACGTGACATTTTTAAGTGTAAATAATAATAATGCCAAACCGTTAAGACGTTGCTGTGCAGTTAAGTTTCTTAAGTACTTATTTAGTAGACGTAAAGATGAAAAAGAATGTTCTCCTGTTGCATTGACATAACAGCTGGTATATCTAGCGCAATACAAGTTTGTAAAAGTTTAGCAATAATTGAATCTCAACAAAAACCCTTCGTAAACTACGTGTAAAAATGCCTAAGTAAGAAAAATATAAGATCTTTAAGCACTTTAAAGATGTGATATTATGAATAAATGCTAAGTATATTGAATTTAAGTAAACTTATTTTATTTTAATAATTTATTTACTTGGCGAGGAATTATTTCTTAAAAGAAACAAAGTGTGATGAACAAAATAATTAAATGGTGAAGGACTATTAAAAAAACACTTATTATTATTAATATTTATGTACTATTCTAAATAATTTATTCCTCAATACATTATTGAAACACAATAAGTTTACTTTAATTCAATATACTTAGCATTTATTCATGATATCACATCTTTATAGTGCTTAAAGATCTTATATTTTTTTTTACTTGGCCATTTTTACACGTAGTTTACGAAGGGTTTTTGTGGAGATATCACTTATTTTTGTCATCAATGCAAATAATGATAATGTATCTATATTTTTATCTACATATTATATAGATAGTATATTGTATAAAGTACGGACAACAATATTATTTGTGTAAATACTGAGTAAATATTGAGTATTTACACAATGATCTAGGTATAAGAACGGTAATATTATTTGTAGTACGGTAATTTTGTCGTTTTTCCCCGATGACTACATAACAAACATTGGCAACGCTGTTAACGACGGCTACCGTAATTCTGAATTTAATATAAATTTCCATTGAAAAGTCCACACTTTTTCATTTATAACTTAATTTCTAAAAGTACGATTTTTATGATTTTTACAAAAGCACATTCTACAAGATATTCCTGATGTTTTTGAGTTTACTAGGATTTATATGATGCATTAGAAAATTAGTTATGTCGTATAACAAATCTACCCATATTTTACACAGTTTAAATAGGCAACTCGATATAACGTACACACACGATCGTACATTTATTTTTTTTTTTTTACTTAGCTCGAGCCACGACTGTGACGCTGGATATATAACTGAGTCAGTTTGAAAAACTTATCGATATCTATATTTATCATCAAATTGTCTTTTATTATGGAAAAACTATAGTATAAAAGCGCGAGGATAAATATCGAAATTCTAGGAAAACGTTCTGGATTACTTGTTGTGAAATTATAATTTTGTGTATTTTGTTGACGTATGTTTTGACAAGAAATTCTCATTATTAAATTATAATTTTGACAGAGCGCAATAACATTATAAAATGTTTTGATTTTGATTTCAACAGATTTAGAAGATCTTTTTGATATAATAAAGTACTTAAGTAGTAAGTACCAGGTTAGGTTTAAAATAATTTAACTAACGATTAACATTTTTACAAACAAAATCAAAGCGTTGCTGGTGCAATTAGATCGAATACAAAATACTGCAGTAATTGTTGACGAAATGTTGGTCAAATAAAATACTGAGTAAAAAGTGAGTCAAATCAAATACGCTATTAGTGTATTATTTGTATAACAACTAACATATTGACATTTACTAAATGACGATAAGAATTATTATTAAATTACATTATTATCTCACTATCACGATTGGCTGTTAAACAATGTAATTTTGTTTAGTTGTAAAAATCCATGTACAACAACAGTCAGTAATAATTCCGATAGCCTTCATTATAAAAATTTTAAAAAGAAAAAAAGGTTACAAAAGGACCGACTTTAGTACTTTACTATTAAGTATTAACATCAGCTTCTAACTTATAAAATTAAAAAAAAAGTTGAAGACACTTTGTAGGGACCATACGTCCCGCTTTCGAAATGTGTATCCCGCTGTCCCCAAAAAACCATAAAATGTCTTACTTTGAAAAAAGAGATCTTTGGCATTTTATTCCACTAAAAAGAACATATTGTAATTATGCATCACAATCAAAAAACATCACGTTGGTAGGTATACGTATGCATATTATGCATATTGTACACTGATATACATATACATTGTATACTGTAAGCCTCCATAGGCCATAGTCTAGGGATAGAAATGATACAACAATAAGTACCTACATGAATACGTTATCGCTGTCACCACGTCAACTTTCTATATTTTTTTTTCTAATAATAATAACGCAATGTATTTTGCTATGTTTCTAGTGTAGTCATTTTACGTATACCGTACACCACTAATGCTCAACTGTGTGTGTGTGTGTGTGTGTCTGTGAGAGTGTGTCATGTTGTGATCGACGGGTGTCTTGTACTCTTGTCCGATAATGCCTTTTGAGTAGCTTGATCGACGTTTGACCGATGATCGAAAATTCATAGTGACGGTTCTTGTGTTGTGGGTACTCAAAAGTCGAAACCTACCCACATTTTAGGAATACTTTTCGTAGGGAACGATTGACTTCAAATCGTGTTTACATTACCCGAAGGGACTGTGGAAATGGTGATAATAATATTATATAAGTACAACAGCATCGACGCCTGGGGCACAGCGTCGGGCTAGATATAATATCATATTTTATACGATATAATCGTGCACTCGAGTGTACCGAATGCGCAGGAGAATTGTTGTGTGTAAAAAAACACTTTGTGCCTATACTTATGAGTTATAGGTGTTATCAAAAACAAAAAAATAAAAATACCGACGATGATACCCATACCTATGTAGGTATATATATATTTGTGTGTGTGTGTGTGTGTGTGTAGCGACGTAAATAAGACCCGACATTTCCCCGTCGCCGACGACCGACAAAACCTATGATTAAATATCATTCGAGTCGTCTCTCGGCCAACAATTTAATATAATAAATAATAATAGTATATAATAACTACATCGTACGACGAGCCTATCGAAATTTCGCTTCTAATACCACCATATTTCGGGCCTAACGTCTGTGTACAAATATATTATTATTTATTATTAAATAACTATTTTTCTGTCTCTGCGTCGTCGGCGGCGACCGAGTGAAAGTCATCGCGTACTTATTGTACCTATATATGTACCCACTACATATTGGTACACGGGCTTCTCGGATATCGTGAGGTTTTCCTACCGCAATTGCCGAATTTGGGTTAGAAAACGAAACGGACACCAACAGTTTTCACGTACCGCGGCCGATCGCTTAGAAATTATATTAAAGTAATATTATATTCATGTTATACCTACATCTTATTTTTCATGTACTTGGTGCAAGCCATACTCAGTTCGAGTCCACTTCGTTTAGGGTCGGTAAGACCGACGCCAGCGTTTCCCGTCGCGACGGCGGGACCGACCCCTTTTTCGTTTAACGACGACGCCGGTCCAGGGGTTCTCATCGCAGTCGCAGTGCGTAATATTGTGCGTGTACACAAATAGCTCCTCACGATAAATATTTTATTCACGAGTGACTCTGTGTCAGACGTTGGACCATAGGCTGGGACTTGATGGAATTTTCGGGAGGTTGGGCTAAAATCTTCTTAAACAAAACAATACCAAATTAATAGGTAACGTAAAGAACAATAATTATTGTTTTAATTTTGGAGATCTTATAGAATATTAATTTTTTTTTTTTTTTTTATGGGGAGGTGGGCTATCCCACTAAACGCACACATCAATCACTGCCTATGCCCCCCCCCAAGTAAAAACAAACGGTGATTGTTGTGGAAACGTATAGCTTTCACTTAGCCCCCTCCTCGCCATGTCATTCACACACAGTGCAAAAACCATATCGAAGTCTCCAGAAAACAAAAAAATATTGACCGGATGGAAAAACTAACCGTTTGAAAAATATAATAATACGCGTAACGCCGCCGTCGACAGTATTGTTGTTGTTATTGTTGTTGTTGGCAGTACTGGACGCGCGCGTGTATACGGAGGCCCTGTCGCGTCCCGCGACCGTGAAAGGGGGAGGATGGTCCGCGTACGGTAGTCGACGGCAGCAGTAGTAGCAGTATTGTAGTAGTAGACAGCTGCGGTGATCGCATCGTGTCAGTGTCGCTTCCGTCACGTAAGCCTACCATACTATAATATTTTGAAAAATCGCTCGTCCGTTATTGTGGTCGTGTCCGTTTCCGGCATCTCAGTCGTTTCCCACCGGAAGTAGTTTGCTCGCGGTGCGTCTTCTCGACGTGCCATGACAACATCGGTCGGTGCACCGCCACCACCGTAACTCTAGTCACAACCGCAGTCGTATTCCTATTCTTATTCGTTTTTTTGTTCGTATTCGTGTTCGTATTTGAAGTCGGATCGTATTCATATTCGCAGTCGTCTTTGCCGACGCCCGCAACATGTTGAAGCTGTTGGGCGGGCTCAAGGAGTTCGTCAAGCGGCAGCCGGTGACCATCGATGGCACCGTTTTCCGGATGCACGTGACGTTCACCACGGTGGTGCTGCTCGCGTGCTCCATAATGGTGACGGCCACGCAGTACGTGGGCAACCCGATCCAGTGCATCGTGGACGGGCTTCCCGCCAGGCCAGTGAACACGTACTGCTGGATCACGTCCACGTTCACCATGCCGGACGCGTTCCTCCGGGAACAGGGCGTGGGCGCTGCGCACCCGGGTGTGGGTCCCGAAAACGGTGAACCGCCCAAGTACTACACGTACTACCAGTGGGTATGCTTCGCCCTGTTCTTGCAGGCCATGTTATGCTACTTCCCCAAGTGGATATGGGACATGCAGGAGGGCGCGCTAATGACCACGCTGGTCATGGGCTTGCAGTTCGGTCTGGGCAACGAGAAGGAGCGCGAAAAGCAGAAGAAGATACTCATCCACTACATGCTCACCCACATCAGAGTGAGTACCTCCTATACACCCTTATACGTTTTCGGCTGACCTTTTGCTATTATCATAACATAATATCATAGATTACCTACCTACGAATAACACATCCTTTGCTGATTTTTTTTTTTTTGGCAATCTGCAGGTCACTGCTGCTGTGTGATGATGTTGTACAGTTGCAGTGACCGTTTCACGTGCGTTTATCGAACGCATAAAAAATAAAAGAGTCAATGATGGTAACATTTGTAAGATCTACGAAAAAAGAATATAGTACAAATTGTTACAAAATTATTTAAACACCTAGTAAAATATCTAAGTTTTTTGTCAGAAGTAATATATTATAAGCAATAAGTATTATAACTTATAAGTATTGTTGTATAAATACGTTATACGACTGCGCTAAAAAACTTATCGTGTTTACTTATAATGATTATATGATCTATGTTTGTCTTGTGACACTTCTTGTTTTGTAAAAATAATAGAACGCTTTGTTCTATCGAAGTGATAGAAGGTGTTGTGCCGATTGCAACTATCATAATAATATATATATTATACATTTATAACGGTGTATTTTTCCGAATAGTCGAAGTCGATAAGAAATGTTTTACAGACGATTCGACAAGCTGTGCGGTGGTACCGGAAAATGTCACGGGCCAAGACGTTTCTCGTCCGACCGAAATACTACTCAAAAATATATATCTAAAACTATATTATATATATTATATTATACATATATATATGAATGGTGTACATAGTTGCGCGGTTGGTATTACAATAACGAAAAGAAACCGTTTCGTTGTTTAGAAATGTTATGTACACACAAACAAAACCATTATTTTTGTATTTTTCAATCAGACGAAATTCAAAACCGATAAAATACAACGCTGGAAACTCAGTGGTCTAGTCTAATACATTTTTAGTTTTCAACACAACAATTTGAATTTAAAAGAATTTATAAATAAACTTTTTATAACAAAATACCATTAACAATGACGTATAAAAATATAAAAATAATATAATATGAGTATAACTTGTTCAAATGTATATATTGGTATGAAACGTGAAATCCATATTTTTTATAGTAAAAACTTCAAACAATAATAAGTGCATGTAATTGTTTGCCAAAAAATATGGTAAATAAGATATCGTATTCATAATGTTAATTAGCTAATATTATTAATTATTGTAATGTATATTTTGTGTACACAGAGCTGTCATATATGATACATAGTGATTCATTTGGATTAGTGAGAACTGTGACCGGATAATGTATTATTAATAAACCACCTAGTTCGTCGTTTTCAATTTGGCATTGTCAGGGATTTTGTGTTTACTTAATTACAGCAATTATAGATTTCATCAAAACATAATATAATTGTTGGCAATTTGGCATACCACAAAATGCGTGTGGTCGAATCCAGCGGTTAGAGGTGCGACGAAATCGATTTTTAACGTTCACGTGACATCGCCACATCGGAATTATGACATTTTTTTAGTCTTAAGTATATGCATTTCTCAATGCGTATCCTTTTAAAACCTACAATAGACCGGCAGGCTATTATTTAAATAATATTTTGTACCTATAGTGTATTATTGTTTGAATCGTTAATGTTTGTTTTGTGTTGATCTATACGAACTCTAACCTCAGCTGCGATGTTTTATTACTGATTCAATAATCATCGTAATTTATAGAACATTACAAAAACACACCGCCGTCGACATTTCTTTGTTCGGTCTACTATTATTATAATGTAGAGCGTTGAAAATAAATACACTTTGTGGTATCGTGTGTTTCCGCTGTGCTTATTCATATATTATTATACATATGGCTGTTGCGTGGAAGTTATTCAAATAATATTATTCAAACCATCGAAACCGTAAAAAGATACATTATAATGATACAATATTATAACCTATGCTGGAGAGAATACGCATTTTGTATATGAACGCCTACGTAACGTTTAACATAATAATTATGATGTATATACCTATGTACCAGCAATTACCAACAGTATATCAACACGATAATTATACAGAAATCAAGAGAACACTGTAAACGGGTACGACACATATTACACATTATGCTTACATATTATATATGTCTGCCCATAAGTATGGTTTATAGACGTCGAAGAGCTCGTGTGTCGCGTTTATTAAAGTTTTCGTGGACTATAATTTGACTCACTAATAATAATATGATCTGTAGCATAGGCATTATTGTCGACATTCAAGAGAGGTCGCCGTACAAAATGCGTATCTCGTCCTATAGGCGTGTAAAATTCGAGGTAAATAATACAATATACCTTATATTTATACGATGATGCGAGCCTAAAACAGTGTACAGGTATAGGCGAGGACGAGTCACTGCAGAAGTTCGTATATTATTATTAGTGGGTGAATCGCGAGAAAAAAATGTTTGTGTACAATATTAAAATATTGGTCGGTTGACGAGTGCAGAGATTTCGACAAGACGGATTGTTAATTTTCGGCTATGTGCATTCTGCGCTCGCAGTCGATATAATAATATATATTATAATTTACGACATAATGCACGTTTCAAACACAGTCTAAACCTAAATGGATATTATGTTGAAACGGTTGGACACGAGTGGTGTAGATTTTTTTTTAGTTTTGTCACACCAACGCCTGCAGTGGCAGTTACAACTCGATTCGATTTTAACGAGTTGTTAGCGTTGTTCCCCGCAAAACGGTGTGAAAGACAACAGTGCCGTAACGTAACTGTTTTGCTGACACTTTGGTCACAACTGTATAAGACGATAATGTTACCTTTACAATGTTGTTTAGCGATTTGGATATTATATACCGTGCGCGGTTCAGGTTTCGATATAATATATTATTATTATTATGATCGGCTTGTATAATATGTGCTGCTGGCCTGTACAGGAAGATGTCGCGATGTTCAAATATTTGAATTAATTATATTCAAAATCATAAATATTATAATACATGTTAGGTATTGCGTATCAATCACCTCGTTCAAAAATCGATTCCCAGCTGATTTACAACATTGTCAATCTGGTTTCCGGATGAGTTCTCAGAAATGTTTTGCTTTTGTCATACATTTTTGTAGAAAGTAAAATAGAATTTTAATGAAATATTCAATACTATAAATAATACATTTATTAGATGTGGAAAGCCAATGTGGACATGTGGGGGGGGGCAATCTGCGCGTATACCCATTGCCCGGACAGGAATAATAATAATTATAAAACTGTATAATGTATATATAGTTATCATCATCTTAACACCTGCAATACAGCTTCCACTCCGCTAAACACTCGATGATAGGTACATTGCGTACATCTATATAATATATTAATATTTCAAAGGTCGTATCTGAGGGGGGTCTAGTTCCATGGGTTCTAGACCTTCTAAAGTGTCTTCAAAATTTTATAAATATTTATAACAATTGTCTACATCAACATACATATTTTCAAAGTCATACATGGTCATAATAAATCTTGCAGTCTATTTTTAATCAAATGTTCAAAACTAAAGTTCAGTATTGACTAAAATACATATTTTGGACTCCCCCCCTCAAAAAAAAAAAAAATCCAGATAGGGCTTGATCTGACAGTAGGTAGTAATAACTATTATGCACTTAATTATTACTGTACAGTTACTATGCATATATATGATATATTTCAGGTATTGCAGGAGTATAGTAAACATGCATTTTCAAATACATTAGGATATGATTTGACATTTGTATAATTGTATGACCTAATAAGTTACATTAATATGCTTAAATTACAGACTGGTAGGTACTAAATTGCATTTAAATTGTCATCGTCATGTCTGTTCGTTCAAGTCGTATACATGGATAATATGACCCCACTATACGTCTACGGTCTACATAATATATCTAATGAAATATTTAATATTTTTGATTACGTACCTATTATCATAAAACGTTATAATATTTAACGAGAAATTAACAGTTTTGAATTTGCGGTACATACGTCCATAAAAACATTGTCTATCAATAACTGTGAGGAGAAAAAAAAATGTCAACAATATTTAAATTGTATTAAATATTGATTTGATTAAGTACCTAGTACCTGGTATTTAATATTTTATAATAAAATCGGTTCGGATTACGAAAAGAGAAATCTGAACACGAGTTGCACGTTTAAAAAAAATTGAAAAATTGACTATAATGTAGTTTTCTTTTCAGAAACACACCTGGTACGCCGTCAAGTATTGGATGTGCGAGTTCATGTGCCTGGCCAACATTGTGCTGCAGGTTTACTGGATGAACAGATTTTTCGGCGGACAGTTCATTACTTACGGGCTGCGCGTCATCGGCATGTCCACCGAACACCAGGACAACCGGGTGGACCCGATGGTCTTCATATTTCCACGGGTGACCAAGTGCACTTTCCATAAGTTTGGACCTTCCGGGTCCGTGCAAAAGCACGATTCGCTGTGCGTGTTGCCACTAAACATCGTGAACGAGAAGACTTACATATTCATATGGTTTTGGTATCTACTGCTGTTGGTGGCGCTGATCCTAATGATCAGTCACAGGTACCTATACAATAATGTTATATTATTTCAATGATCGTTTATTTATTATAAACGAGCGTGCGTCAGAAATAAATATTGAATAGAAATTCGTATCGGCATTAATATTATTACATAGTCTATTAGTAGAGCCCGGATTTATATGCAATAAAATGTATCAAAATATGCCATATAATTTGCAGTAAAAATCGTTAAAATATGCAACAAATATGCAATAAAAATCATTAATATATGCAACAAATATGCATTTAAAAAATTCAAAGTTATATTAAGTATATGAAAAAAATATAAAATAATGAAATATAATAAAATGTAATATAATAATTGTATAAATATAATATAATATAATGTGTTTTTAATTTTTATTCTTCATTGTTAAAATGAATAATTAAATGGTGCTCAAGTTTATCCTCTGTAAAACTATGCCGTCTATCTGATAGTAAATGTTTATATATAGAAAATGATCGTTCACAATCCACTGACGTTATCGGGGAAAATTTGAAAGAGCTTAAAATATTTGGGTCTTGATAGTTTTCATCTAGTTGAACTGCTTCCGTTTTCCCTAATAATACTTACGTAATATTTTTAGGCCCTTATTTTTGGAGATAATATCATTTAATTTTGTTTTCAATGTTGCCCCTTTAGGTCCAGGAATAGTGTTTATTTTTTCTTCTAATTCACTTATTAAACAAAAACTTTCAGATAAAAGCATATTTTGTGTTTTTAGTTTTTTAATTATTTCAACTAAAAATGATAAATGATTTGATATAAATTTTAATTCATTCAAAATAGATCTATCTTTAATAATATCAGGTACTTTTTTGACGCATTGTGTCGTCTTCTGCGAGTTTTTAAATTACCTTTTGGTATTTTATAAAATGTTCCGCGTAATATAAAGCAGCGACTATCCATTTAACGGCAACTAAACAATGTCGATGTAAATTGCCAGCACGGTTGTAACTCGAGAACAGTTTACTAAATGTTTATTTAATAGCCTGTAGGTAATATTATAAAATTAAATGAATTATATCGATAACGACGATATAACGATTAGATTACAACAGATGAACTATCTATTTGTTTTAGTACGATGGGATTACCTCAACTATTTCTAATGTAATTATAATATGTTACATATAATACGTATTTTAAATTGAGATAGCTAAATTCCGCGACCTATACAGCGCCATTCATTGAAGTATGCAACAAATATGCATTTATAGACAAATATGCATTTAGGTCAAATATGCAAAAATATGCAAAATAAAAATTTAGCAGTGAATTGCAATTACTATGATTCGTGGAGATTATGAACAAAAATATAAAAAAGTTAAAAGGAAAAAATATGCAAAAACGTACTAATCCGGGCTCTATTTATTAGTATGGTTAGTAGTTGTGGTTAGAAATAACGAAATATATATAAGTCAGCTGTAGGTGATGTTAAAATGTTGTAAATATTCTACATTGGAAATGTAATAGAAATAGCTATTTTTTGGTACAACTATAAAAAGGTAATCGTGACTTAAATAAACCCAGATATTATATAGGTAACTACTAAAAATATATTTTTTTTGTTTTTTGTACACGTAACAAAATAAAAAGTATACAAATTACTTACCTAATTAAAAATGTTTCAAATATCTTTACTAGTACCTATGTATATATTATTCGTATGTGCGCATACCATGGATTTGGTATAATAGGTTTTTTACAAAGTCAAAACTGAAATCTCCTTAACTCTTTGTAGTTGTTTTTTTTATTTTATTAATTAACCCGCTGAAACTTAGGCCATTGGGTGGTTTTTAATGTAGTGGAGGGTACTGTAAGTTTAAACACTTGTGGTAGATTTTCTAGTGGGTACCCTTAGGCCGTAGATATCTGCCCACAACCGACGCCTTAATCCGCCGGGGCCCCTCCGTCCCCCACTTTGTAGTCTGTATATTAGCATATTATGATTTTATATGACGTCGATACGTTTAATTCGTTGACATATGACTATAAATGGTATAACAAATGTCAAATACAATTTTGTTTGTTTGTTGTTGTAACGCACTGACTAGTAGTGTATAATATGTTGTGAATTTAGTGTACCTACTATATGTTATATTTAATTATTTAACGCTTCTCAGCTCAAGTGTACTCGATAATGTAATACAAATATGGCCGTCTGCACTTCTAAAGTTACTAACGCCACTGCACTGTAATTTGAAACTTAATATTATTTACTTGTAAAATGATTATCAATGCTTTGAAACGTCCAAGTATGCAAATCATTGATTAAATATTTAACCATTTGTTAGAGTTATAAGAGTTATTGTTTAAAAATACCGAGATTTGCATTGCTCATTTATTATAAGACCGCTTTTAATCTGCTCAAGAATAAAATATATACATCATCATGAGTTCTAACTGTACAACTCCATACCTACATTTTTTATACCAGTTTTAACTTATCATAAAGAAACGATATCGTTGTGGTGTGTATCTGATATTTTAAAGCTTTCTCGGTAAAAAAATAAAATAAATATTAGCAAGCGACATTAACGAGCGTAGTCGTAAACACTCATTACACTGCACCTATATAGGTACTTACCACCTACAATATTATGTACCCGGTACCGTATACTTTTACCGTATTTTGAATTTTTATGTAATAATTCTAAAAACAACCAATCAGTAGGTACAACTCTTATACGAAATCCGTTTTAGATTTTTTCTTTAACATTTTCCATTCGGTTTCTAAACCAGCCAATATATTATATTATATAAACATCGCGGTTTATCCACTGCACATTACACACAGCATCATAATAATTCATAATAATAATATATTATATATAGGTACGCGATCGATTACCCGGCATAGTGGCAGAGAATATAACCAGCCCAGTCGACGCTAACATACCATAATAATATCACGATGTATATAAAAGCGGTTCGTAGGTATAAGAAATCGGTTGAGAAGAATATTATTTTTTTCGCTTAGGTCGTCGACGGTTTCTCACTCGTTAAAACCCGTCCCGCGGGGTTCGACGTCCGAAATGGAGTGCGTAGAAAACACCTCTACACAGACGTCGCGTAGTATTTATTTTATACTAGAGAGTACGTGTATAAAATAATATTAAATATTACGATAATATGCCCGTGACAACCCTGCAGCCAGTAAATAAACGGGCGAATAGCCTCCCATTGGACCCTCGAATTTATTGCAACCCGTTTTTTTTTTAAAATGGTTACTTGGATTGCCTCCAGATTTCAAAAATATCATTCACTTGAATTGCCTCCTGTTTTAGGTATAGTGACCTTCTTGTAGCTACTGGAGTCGCCTCCAATAGGTAGGTATAATCAATCAATTTCTAGTTAAATTCACAAACATTGATTTTTTTTAAACTGTTATGAGTCGAATACACGAAAGCTAATCCAGTAGGAGATAAAAGGCCGACATTATAGGAAAAACACGTTAATTAAATAAATTGAATATTAAGTCGATGTCGGAAATCGATATAACAAATATCGACAATAATACATATCGTACAACATCTATCGATATATTAATTAACAATCTAGCTAGGTATAGACAACTCGTGTGGAAAAAGGTCACCAACCTATTATACATTTTGGAGGCATTTCGAGATAGTGTTCAGCAATAAATAACAACGATCTCTCGTGTGATGGTTTAATAATACCGATTTGTTTGGTTTCGTTTTGTTCTAGAGTGCTGATTATGTACAACGCCACTGCGAGGAAGAACGCTTTGCGGTACCGCCACTACAGGTTGATAACCGACGACGTGGCCAAAGCCGTGACGAACAAATTGTCACTGGGTGACTGGTGGGTGCTGTACATGCTGGGAAAAAATTTGGATCCGATCATTTACAGGGAAGTGGTGCGTGAAATCGCCAAAAAAGCCGACGCCTGATGACCCCACGCGAAGACTGCCGCACAGATATTCGCGGATGACCCGTCATCACGAACATCGCGATCATCGGCGTTCAAGTCCCCGTCTTTATGATAATATGATTTTTGTACGAATTACATGATAATAATATTATAATATTGTCGGGCGTCAACTATTTATTTATTTTTTCGTCTAAACTTTAGTTTCAGTATAAATCCGAAGATGTATTTCATTTTTTTCCATTACATGTACCACCGCGTACTTTTACTTTTAATTTACCTAATGTTAAGAATTTTTTCGTCGTTTATTGATACAAATCGGTGTCCCCCGAACACGGCAGTATAACGTGACACGTTTATGTTTATATATTATGATATATTGAAACATATCGAAGTACAAACAGAAGTTATATACTAACAATACACTCGGACAAGACTATTATAATAATACAATATATTTATATATATTATAACTCAAAACATTTTGTTTGGATTTTTCTATATTTTAACACGACTGTACCTGTACTATTTTTTATTATTATATAACTGTACACTATATTCCTAAATTTAACACTTTTTTGCGTGATTTTTTTTTTGCATACTCACATAGGTACCAACGCGTGCACAAGTAAAATAATCGAATTTCCACGGAAAGATCAAAATTATCATATAAAGTATTAAAGTGTGACTAGCTAGTGAAGTAGTAGATTAAGTACTATAATATAGGTAAACTATATTATAGTACCTATATATTATTAAATAAATAATTTATTAGATAAATAACAAATATGTAATTTTTTCATTTTTGTTAGTTTTACAATTTTATATTTATTTTTGTACCTTTAATGGAGTTCACTATTTATTTTATATACCTACTATAATTATATAATCATATTTATTAATATAATATGAAATACCTATATGTTTAATAGGTGGATAGGTGTGTCCTATACACTGTCACCTTCGAATGCATTGTATATTATTGTTTATACATAATATATACTCACAAAGGGTAATAAACGTCAGAAATTTTGTATTTCCAATTTTTATTTCAGATTCTTTATTAGAATTAATAATACTATCACCCTGATGATCATCATTTTCGTCTGATCGAGGAAAGAATGGTGTGCATATACGTACAATAATTATGTGAATTTGATGCGCTTCAATTTCAAATGTATAATTTAATGTCACAACCTAAGTCGGTTTCATTTTTAAGAATATAAATTAACTTTCGTAAAAGAACGCATCCAGATGCACGATGATCATGGTATTGTGTTTGGGTAATTGCGTTTTTAGATGTTGTTCCGTGGTCGTAAAATTAGATATTTTTTTATACGAGCAATAATGGTGTGGCTACTACGCCTACGGGTATGTACGTTATTATTATTTCAGTTGGACGTTGAACCATATCGTATATTATTCAACATATATATATTATTCTAAATACCTATGTATTCCTAGTGCTAGCCGCAGGCCACAGACAAGTCCGGTATTTACCAAATGGTTTTTGTTTTTTTTTTTTTTAAACTAGTGCAGTTTGTTCTAATGCGTCGGATTTTAGATTCTGAGCAGAGCGATGAATGTATTGATTTTACAATGATGTGTGTTTTTTTTTATTATAGATTCTGAGCTTAGCGAGGAAGCTAGTGGTTTTACAATGGTGTTCATTATCATTCATTTTTTTTATCCTGTATACAAAATTTCTGCCAAAAGGAGTGCTTCGATTTAAACATATAGTATCTTATCTTTTAGAAAATTGGATCAAGATGGTATACTTAAGAGAGGTAATTTTTCGATTTTCTCAAAAATTATTTAACTCCACTGGAAAAACCACCGACAAATTACAAAACACCGCTAAAAATGGGATTTTAATTTCTAACGATTTGTTTATACATTATCGCCATAGAAATGAATAAAAAAATATAATATTATAATATTAATTCAACTTACAGGCTATAATAAATAATAACAATATAAAATATCCAGACTGACAAACCGTCTCCGCTCAGAATCGTTTTTCTTATACAACGATATTATATCATTGAATTCAAGTTTAATACAATTCATTGTATATTGACCCACTTGTAACCTACTGTACAGCAGAGCGACGTCCTCTTACCAGATTTTTATGTATTATAATGTAAAACTGTTATAAATAGTATATTGTACAAATGTACAGTAGGTATGTATCAACATTCAACATAGATATGCCCAAATTAATTATTTTATAAAAAACCTTTTGCACTTATTTTATATTAAGTATAATTTTTATGTCATCGCTTGTCATAATAATGTTTATTATCTTTAGAACAATGTTTTTACTTTATATGAAACAATATTTGGAAAATGTCTTATCGAAATCAACATAATAATTTGTTCCCCGACAATGTTCTTTGGAACATTTATGAAACTGTTTCAATCGATTGTTCAATAGGCATTACGTAGGTATCAAACTGCAGTGTTCGGAGTACGATTTGTTTGTTTGAGTCGAGTCACTTTTCGTGTGGCGCGGGCGTACTGTGACGAGACAAAAGTATCTAGACTTGGCGTTTTAGACTGTCACATCAGGAAAACTTAGCGCCATAGACGTTGTAATAAATTTTCGGGTGATCGATATTTGGCTGCACCGGAGCAAACCGAGCACGTGGACCGCACTTACGAGATTGCATGTACGTCGTAGGTTATAAATAATAACTAAACAAAAGGAAAAGAAATTGTGTCGAAAATAAAAAAAACATTTGGTGTGAAGCGAAAATGCGGTTAGCCATTTTTTAGATAATAACATTATCTGTGCTTAAGCGTTGGCTTTTATTCGATATTTTAATTTTCAAGCGAGACACGGGAATTTTATTTTTTGATATTTCACATACCCTTATTTTGCTTGAAAATGAAAATTTCGAAAAATCGGCAACTCTTGAGCACAGATTATGTTCTTACCTAAAAGTTTTATAATAGATCAATTCACTCTAGTATCAAAACTAACAGCACACTATTGAAACTAGTGAACGACAATTTGCTATGTCGTGCGTGTGTAAGACGGAGACAAAAAATGTATGGGTAGCGTCCTCTTAAGGAGTTTAATATAGGAAGTTTTCTATGTATATTTCCATGTGGACCGTGTACGTACTACTTAGTAATAGTGATCTGAAGTGTTTGACTGCGTGTAAAAGAAATGAGCCGATCGCTCCTTTACGTGGTACCTACATACCACCAACGGTCTGCGTGAATATTAATTTCTTTAGTTTTTTTTCAATATTGATAATTTTAATAGATACTTCTGTGAGTATTTTGAAAAATTTTAAATGTTTTTACCATTGGCAAATACCTAGATGATAATATACTGTACAGCTTAGCAAAGATCTTGACACCATCAATATTCAATGCACTAAAGTTCTGCTACTTTTAGATAGGTAATAATACTTTTCACTTAATTGTTATAGTTTATTACATTTATAAACGTTTACGTTCAGTTTATTTACGTTTAAGACCAATAAGCGGTGGTAAATTACATATACTTCGGGATGTCCGATTTAAATTTTTCAGTGCAATTATAGTTAACGGTTAACACAAATAATATATTATTTCACTTCGATACAGAGTATAGATGCTTAGATGTTTGACAGTGGGCGAGTTTCGTAAATAGAATTTTACAATCACGATATTTTTCAGCCGCATTATGTTAGTTGGAGAAAAAGATTGCACACTGTCAACAAGTAATATTTATGTAGTATTATTATTATTGTGTAGACATACGGTTTAAAGTTATTAGTCCCACGTGAATTTTGCACTATTAAAATTATTATTTCATATAATTGAACGTCATAAACGTTTTAAGTGTTCATGCATGCAATTAAATCGATTTAAAAAAGGTAAAAAATTATCGAGACCCAGGTATCTTTTTTTTTTAAATTTATTAGAGCCTCAGCGTCTAAGGCTATTGGCTGCAGATACCCAGGTTTTATTATTGAATTTACTTATTTTTGAGATATTGTATGAAAGGTACATAATAATTAAAAAAAATCGTTACAGTACCCATATTATAGTTGGTGAATTGACGGTAATATTATAGTTATCTAATAACTCCTATATTAAAAATTTACGATTTTATAGAATGACATGATTTTTTTTTGGTAAAATATACCTAATATAATTATTACATCAGTAGCAAATATATTAAACATTAGTATTAAAAATGAAGATATTGTTGATACGTACAGATTGAAACCGTACAAGAATACAGATGGTAAAATTATAGCTAAATTCAATTCCATGATCTTAAAAGACAGTATTATTAAATTAATTAAATTACGTTATAAGAATAAAAATCCGGTAACTGCAAAATAATTTACATACTAACTTTCCTGAAGTTAAAATATTCATCAACGATCAACTCACTAAGGAAAACAAAAGATTATTCTGGGTGGCAAAAGAAATTTCAAAAACATATGGTTACAGATTTGTCTGGTCAAATTCTGGCGGTGTCTACTTAAAAAAACAAGAAGGGGAACAAGTTATTAAAATACAAACTACGCAAATTCTTCAAAATCTTGATATAGACAAAAAAGTTAGTGCACTTTGGGAGTAATATAATATTCTTTTTGTTATTTATTTTAAGCGGATAATTTATTCATTTATTTTTATATTATATCTTTCTTTTTTGTAATTTAAAATGTTTTAATGTTAATTAATGTTTAAATATAAATAGTTAAAATGATTCCATTTAATAACTTTGATTTTAACTTACTATCTAATGAAAAAAATACTGATTACCAAACGTTTGTTATTAACGACTGTAACAATTTTAGTGTACATAATAATAATCTTACTGTCTTTTCACTGAACATTAGAAGTATCGAAAAACATTTTAACGAATTGTTAGTGGTTTTAAGTTCAGCTAATTTTAAATTTGATATTATTATGTTATCTGAGACATGATTAGATAATAATATTGGTAACTTCGATATAAAAGGTTATAATTGTTATAATCACTATAGCTCATTAAATATATCTGATGGAATA